CAATCAGCAGAAATATGAACACAAACTACCGTACAATGGTTTTGGCCGCTGGTTGTTCCCCAGTGGCTGGAGGACATTCTTCTGGTTGGCGCAGAGGACCTCCTCCTGCCCCAGTCGACTACGCACAAAAGATGACAATATATGTGAACTGCGAAATTGTCTATCTGTGTACAGACTATATCAGTTCAATGAACTTACGGATCGTTGCAGACGATCAGACAAGAACACAACAGTGAAATCGACAACGGGCAGAATAATGTTAGTTAACTCTTAAGTAATCGCGTGGGGTCGATGTGACCCGAGTGATATTTCTACTGATTGAACTTAATATAAAAAAATATTATTGGGGGAATGACGGTTCAATGTAACCTGCCGTTTTGCTTCTTTCTTCCCTTCAGTGTTGCTAAAATCGTCGAAAGAATATGCAGTCTGTCAAAATATCAGGTTCTGACTCGATACGAGAATGGGTGCCTTGAAAAAACGCTACATAAAAAGCGTTTTTTTACTATTTATCTATACTGTGGTGATACATAAAAGAATTTTTCTTAGGCGAAAAATCTACGAAAAAATTCATTTTTAAAATTTGCTGTAAGATCATTTGTTAATTTTGTGCGGGGAATGTGTAAAACGTATCTTGAACTGTTTTATTTAAAAAAAACGCATTTATTAAAATCGAAATGCTTTAATAAAAGCCGCTGTTGTTGTTCTATTTCATAAATCCGGGTTTTTAATACGTTGCTGAGAAATTTCTAAGAAACGAACGCTAATGCGTTCAAGGATAAAGCTAGCGAGTCGGCACGACTGAAGATGAGTGGCTATGCACTGTACGTAACTTTGTTACGCGACTACTTAAGGGTTAACTGCTAACGAATCATTTGGACCGTGATACTCACAGCAAGTTTATGCGTCGACGGTGGCGACTGGGCGAGTGTTAGGTGACTGTCGGACAGGAAGCTGACGGCAGGCATGTGAGCAGTGCCGCCGCGTTCGGAACGTGCCCGACGGTCCAAACTGTGGCTCTTCAGCGAAGGTGCGTCCACCAGGTCATACGGCGAGTCTGCAAACGGAAAGTACTGTTAAACTTGATGATCAAACGAACGGCACATGACGACGCACAAGCGACTACGACCAACAGAAAACAGCCAATAAAGTACGGACACAGACCATAAAAGCAAAAACACATTACCCTGCTCCTCCTCGATGACACTCAAAGACAACGAACTGGTCCAAAAGATTCCCCGTGGCATTTCCGAGCGAGGCGGAATCAAGGTGAGGTGGAGGTGAGGTGTGGCGGACGCAGAGGCGGAGGTGATATGAAGTGAGGTGTACCGTACTGGCCGCTAACGGCCAAAGCCGAGGGTTGACTCGCAACTGTGCGAAATTAAGACCGGGGGCTAGGCAACGCAGAAGTAGTGATGGCCCGTGCGCTCGAATCAGCTCGTCGTCAGCGCAGCACGCAGCCGCAGCACGCAGCACGGTCGGTGCGTGTGTGCGTGTAACGCAACGAGCGAACGACGGCAGGGGGTCAGTGCAGTGGCAACCTCAGCAAACACGGGCGCTGAACAGCGTCGAGCGACATTGGCGGTTCATCTGCCAAGCACACACCGGACGCCGGACACCGGACACCGGCGATCACCGAGTGATGTTCACCGACGGGCAGCATTCTTCAAGCTGCACGACAGCAAAGCAACGACGACAACAACAACAACGACGGTCGAGGTGACCGAATAACCGCTTTGTGATGAAA